GGTTAGTTTGGATGAATCACGGGTGGCAGAGCCAGTGGGTCATGCCAACAGGGAAACAATGTCTCCTCACCCCCCGGGCGGTGCGCAAACGGCGTGGAACGGGGCGTGGAACGGGGCGGGCGCGGCGGCGGGCGCGGCGGCGCGCACAGAGGTGATGCAGATCGTCGGTGCACTCGAGGTCCTCGGCCACGCCTGCGACGCGGCGGTCGGGATGAGGCGCCGCGCGCCGCTGTCTCCGAGAGCGGGCGGCGGCGGCGGCGGCACCGAAGACGCGCACCAGCTGCGGCACGTAGTCCGACTGCAGCAGCAACTCAACGAGGCGCGCTCGCCGGAACGGCGGCACCTGGCGGAGGGAGCCAAGTGGCGGTGGCGGTGGGCAAAGGCGATCCGGAGAGGGCCTGCGCGAGCGCGAGCTCGCGAACGCACGCGAGCTGGGCACAGCGCGGGGCGACGGGGGCCCCTCGCCCCCCCCCCCCACGCCGCTTCTGCCGCCCACCCTCCCCCCGTCGGTGAGTCCTCGTCGGTGAGTGCTGAGCTCTCGGCCACCCGCGCGCGCAGAGCGAGGCAGCGGCGGGGCGCGCGCCACCTCGCTTAGAAGGTCGGCGATTGCTGCGACATTGCGCAGCTCGGCAGCCGGCAGCTGCAGCGCTGTGTCGGCGCCGGCGCTGCCCGCCGTGCTGCTCGCCCCTTCGGCGTCGCTCGTGCCGCCCGCGCCGTCCGGCTCACGGCCCTGCAGCGAGCAGATTTGCTCCCAGAGGTCCGTGCAACCCTCCGCCTGATTTACGGGCACCGCACGTGATCAACGGGCCGGCGCCGAGAGCGAGCGAGTCTATGGGCCAGGCGCTGAGCGTGGCTGTGCGCGAGGAGGCATCCGGTGACGCGCGCACGTCTTGAAAGCTCAGCGCGTAGTCCACGCCCGTCTCTGGCTCGTTCCAGGAGACAATCGTCTCTGCGGCGCAGGCAGAGGGCACGCGGTCGGTGCATAGGGGGAGGGTGCGCCGGCGCCGGCACGAGAGGGCCGCGCCTTGCTGCCGCTGGTAGATGTCCTCCATGTGCACCCGCGCCTGCAGCAGCACCTGGCTGCCGTCATCCTCGCTGACGACGACGACAAAGGCCGCCTCGTCCTCCTGCGCGCGAGAGCGGCGAGCGTGAGCCAGGATCGCTGCGCCGGCCGCCGCGGCCGACGAGCACAGCCAGGAGCCGACTCGCGCGCGACCGACGAGCACAGCCAGGAGCCGACTCGCGGCAGCGACCCCGCGCCCTGGATCCCCCCTAGGTGAGAGTGTGCGTACCGGCGAGTATTGCACTGCCGCGTGGCCGGTCCCCCGATCGTCCCACTGGCCGTTGCTGTTGAGGCAGTACACCTTGGCACGGTGGCGAGAGTCGTCCGACTCGGCCTCCGCCATGTGCCGTATCTGATCACTGCTCTGCGGCTGCTGCGTTGCTGCACAGCGCGCGCGCCATGACTCGCCTGCCCTTCACACCCCGGTACTCACGACTTGTTCGGTAGACGCCGGAGGCCGGTATGCGAGTATGGCCAGTCAGTGCACCAGACTTACATATATGTTCTCAGAGGCGGTTTGAGCCTAATAACGGCAGTATTATTGGGAGAGAGTGTTGTTGCAGTATTGGGAGAAAAAGTATTATCCTGGGGTGTGGGGGCCTGACTGAGGGAGGGTGCAGAGGATGTAGAATGTAGAGCGCTGTAGAGCTGTAGAGCTGTAGAGCGCTGTAGAGCTGTAGAGCTCTACGTCCGGCGCGGGACGGACTGCCTGCGTTGTAGAGCGATGTAGAGCGCGAATTCACAGTGAAATCACTAAGTAAATCGCGGAACGTATAGACTCTACGACGACCCAGTCGTACAA